CATAGGAGTTTTGTGAACTTTATGAGTTCACATGCAGAGACTTTAATCTACCCTGATTAGGAGCCTCATAATTAAATAATGATCACACTCTAGCTGCCAATATAGCCAGTGAAGCTATTGACACAAATGTAAAATTAGCAAAGAGGCTGAGGACATATCCAAGCATTTGATATACAAATGTGAGGACCCCGAGTTCAGATCCTAGCACCCATGGTAATGCTGGGTGGGAGGGGAGGGACAGCACACCTACAATTCTAGAGCTTCGAGGAGGACCATGGGAAATAGCTGGTGAGAACTGGGATCAAGGGAGAAACCCTGCCTTCATGAACAAAGTGGAAAGCAATGGGGGGAAAAACTCTGGATGTCGACAGCAAATCTCATGTGTACACACACACAGGTGTATGTACATTCAAATACCTGAGCACCACATACATTTAAATAAGCACATGCATATACCACATGCAGAGACACACAAAAATATAAAAAAAAGCAAAGTTTGGATAAAGTGTCTACCAAGCATGGAGTTATCTCAGAAGGAATCGCCACATTGCAAACAAAATGCATCGTCAGTATGAAGGGTGCATTGAATGGCATCCATAATATCACATCTGCACCACAACTGTGAAAGCTCCCTTGTTCCTGGTAGAGTTGAAGACATTCCCTCTCCTCTTCCTCATGTTTAGATTCACAGAAAAATCAACTAAAAGAATATTGAGAATGTCATACATGTTGAAGGCTTTAAAAGCATCTCTAGTTTCAATGAAACAGTTGTTATTCTTTTCATTTTCTTTGTAATTTAATTATATATATTCAAAACAGCTAAAATAATTATATTGTCATTTTGTTATACTGAGGGAGGAAACAATGATTACATAAATGTACTTCTTGAGGGAAGGGTATATGTGTCTTAAGAACTGAGCCCAGGAGCCTCACATAAGCTAAGCATTTGCTTTCCCTCTAAGCTATATCCAGAGCCCTCACTGGCATGATTTTATGAAAGGGTAGGGGAGACAGGAATGCTCACAGGTTCTGCCACAGATACCCATCCCTCAAGTGACTGGGTATATGGTGATAGAGGGTAGAAAAGTGGTGTTTAGGCTCTATTGTGGGTGGAGTTATATCCTCCCAGATGATTATGCTGAAGTTCTAACTTCAGTACCTCAGAATGAACTGCTTTTGGTGAGAGAGCCATGGTAAAATGCAGAGAATAAGTGTCAGTGGAATGATCAGGCACAAATAAGATATCTGCAGCACACACACACACACACACACACACCACATACCACATCTCCTCCCCAAGGCTCAGAAACATAAACATAAAATAAAAATAAATACATCTTTTTTAAAAAAAAAATCCAGAGATCAGGGATAACCAGATCAAAGCTGTCTTCTGAACATACAGGGCCACTGACTATTGAGTTTATACCATCAATGGCTGCCTGCACCAAGATCTGCACAAGATCAAGATGGTCACCATTCCAGCACAGTGAGGAGACCCCGCCCCCTGATGCAGGTGCTACGTACAGTGGATGGTTTCTGAGAAAGAGAGAGCCAGTTTTCTGTTGGACTGTGCACCTGGTATGTTGTGCACAGCTCACTTGATGGCCCTACATCTAGAAGTTTAAGAAAAAACAAAATTTGAGTTGGTGAGGTTTTTTTTAAAGACACAAAGTTGGGGATATGAGGCTAGATCTGGAAGGGATTAAGCAAAGGACTTGATCAAAATAAATTATTTGAGAGTCTGGGCAGATGCCCTGAGGTTAAAAGCATGTGTTGGTCTTGTAGAAGGCCTACATTTGGTTCCCAGCACCACAGGGCAGCTTACAACCAGCTGTAAGTCCATTTCCAGGGCAACCTACTCTCTATTCTGAACTCCACACTCACCAGGCACACACGTGGCACACAGACATACCTGTAGTCAAAATACTCAGACACATGACTAATTCTAAAACTATTAATAATTTTAAATAGATTTATGATATCCATGAAGAATAAATAACACATTCAACAACAGTTATTGTTATGAGATAAAATCCATGATAAATTCTTTGTTATTTGCTGTTATAATAACAGTGATTCAATAAATTTCATTTTGAAAGAAGTACATATGTCTTTTGTCAGGTCAAACTCAACTTATTGGATATTAAACTGTATTACATCTGAATTTTGACTTGCATATAATTAAAAAGCAAAAGTCAAGCTAGGTCAAATGACAGTGTTATCCCCTAGATAGATGATAGGTAGATAGATATGTAGATAGATGATAGATAGATAGATAGATAGATAGATAGAATGTAGAATTTCAGTAGCTCGAATTTATGCTTTTGTGAATTCTAGAAATTTATTCTGAAGGAAAATTCAGAGAGATTTAATAAATGAACCTAAATTTTATACAATAATAGTAGTAAGTACAATGCAAAAGTGCACGGGGGACACAATGTATTTGAGGAACAGTTTTCTAAAAGGATGTCCTAGACTCTCACTCACCAGACTTTCTTATATAAAAAAAAATACAACATACACTTAGCAGCCTTCAAAGAGAGGACAAGCAAGGTGAGCAGAGAAGATAGCTTTCCATTTCTCACCATGCCACCAAGCAGCTGGAGGAGCCCAGCAGCTCCCACCGAAGGCTCAGGTGCACCTACCTAGCCAGCCCCCACAGCCCGGAACTGGGGCAAGAGTTTCCCAACAGAGTTACACACAAAGGCAAAGACCTTTCTGACAGCAGGGAGTAAGACAAGGAATGAATCTCAGCCACTCTTCTACCCCCCTCCTCTTCCCCATCCCCCAGAGAGGGCGGGCTTAGAAACTTTACCACTGAGAACAGCTGCTCTGAAAGCTGCCCTGGGTGTTAATCAAACCATCTGTGGTCTGCAGGAAGAGGCTTGTATCAAAAGCCTTAACCTGCCCCCAAGGCCCTGTTTCCACCTTGATTTAATGATTCTCGCTGGTAGCAATCTGCTGTCTTCATCCCTGCAGGGCCCCAAGCTGGAGGTTCTGCCACTCACCCAGCTTGCTTCTCGGTAGCCCCTCAAGGAGAAACACTCCCCTGGAAGGAGACTCGGCTTTATTTTAATCCCAGTTAAAGTCCCTATCCAATCCATTAACAGCTGCAATAACCTTGGTCCAGGGCATTTCCTGGCGAAGCTATAACCAGCTGGGGTTAATGAACTCTCCCTACCATCAATTCGTGGGAGAAGCCATTGGCCTGAATTGTTACTTAATTACTCTTCTGTGTACAGCTTCATAAAGCAATGAAATGCCTTCTTTCAGGAGATGGTAATGGGGGTCATCAGAGGTGGTTAATTTTACGAATAGTTTGCTAGAAACTTCGGTATGTTAAGAAGTCGGCCTGGCTCACAAATCACCTCACCGTGGTCCCTCTGAGTAGAGGCCTGAAAATTGACAGGTTTCTATGACTCACTATACAGCTGTGAAGAAATTGCCGACATGTACATGTGTCCGGGTATAAAGAATGCATATTCTTTGTTTTTCAGTGAATGAGTTTCCATTAAAGCTTGCAAGAGGAGCCATAGTGAAGTTAATTCAAGATTATCACAGGATTTACTGTCAATATCAAAAATCTCCGGTAATTTCTCAGTCTTTGGTGGGTGATTCTTGGTCTCTAAGACTCAGGTCATAGCAAGCTTGGATGTACCCATGAGCCTCTGCAGGCAATACTGGGTCTTCGTGGTATTGCTCTACCCGTTGGTCTCTGCATTTATCTCAGCACGAGTGCTCATGTCCATGAATGACGCCTCTTCACATATTGGCATGCTCCTTTCAGACATGAGGAAGCTCCAAGGCACTTTCTGCACCATCCAATTGAAAACTGCAAAATCCTTTCTTTGTAACTCACTTGGTGCCTTCCCCCCCCCACACACACACACACCCCATACCCTTCACATGCTCATATGTTCACATTATTTCTTTGGATAAAATAAAATCAACCTACACACACACACACACACACACACACACACCTCAGAATGTAAAGTCTTCACAAGAGCAAACGTTGTCCTGTTCCCTCTTGAAGACACTGGTACTTTTACTTTCCAATATCCATAGGATGAATTGGTTGCTAGTTGGGCACATGGTGGCATCACTGTGGCCACAGACCAAATTCCCCATCTTCATCCCACTTGGGCAAAAGGAAATGCTATTTGCCACAGATATGATAAAAAATGCTGTCCCTTTATACTGCCTAGAAACCATACTCCCTGAGACATGTCCATACTTAAGGCAGACAGCCATAAAGTCCACACACCCACAGAGATTCTAACACTGGAAAGATAACAAGAATCAGTTGCCAATGGCACCATTGTGACATGCTGCCTGCCCATCGTATGTCAGTTGTGGAGTCATAACCCTATGGAAGGTTGTAAGATTCTATTGGATGGTTCTGGTGGGAAGAGATGAGAATCTTCCAGAAGAATCTCCTGACTAGGGCAGGATCAGAAAGCCAAAGCACATCAGTAGAAGGGAGGTAGAGTTTGTAAAAGAGGTTACAGGGCAGAGAGGGTCACAGAGTTTTTTTCTACTTGGTTTTCTGACCCCTGATTAATACTAACACACTTCCCACCAAGCTTGCATTGGCTGGGAACTGGGGAACATCCATAACTTTCCAGGGCAGTGATATGCTGATATCTGTGCTCTGAGACCTTTAAGAAAGCAGTGGTCATGGAGAAAGGAGACTTAAGAAAAACTGATCACCTCTGTTTCTTCCTAGTGTTTTGTTCAGGTTTCCAAATTGTATTAGTATGGTAAACAGCCTCTAGGTGCATTTGCTTGCAAGACAATTTCTGGAATTTTCCAGCAGATCTCTGCACCCTTACTTCCTGATGCAGAGTCAGATGAGCAGAAAGATCTGGAGTCTTTGTCATGTCCAACCAGGGGCTATGAAGGGAGAAAAACCAGTTCATTTACTTTCTATTTGGGAGACTAATGGACTTGTTCTCCTGTTCATAACCATATCTCTACTGACATTTCAGGGGTCTACAATGGAAGAACAGAAGGAAGATCAGCTCAACTATGAGTAAGTAACGGCAACTATGAAAGGCTGAAGTCCAGGCACCAGGTGTGAGGCAGGTCCGCTCATACCTTCTTTAATCTTCCAGTCACTTCTCCTTCCTTCTTCCCTCCACCCATCTCCAAAGTACTCCACTTCTACGGGAAGTGGTAAATTCTCCCATAGAAGCCAGCTTTTCCAAGACAGGACTTTATTTTACAATATCATGTTTCATGCCACCCGAAACAAAATCAAAATCCCTGGGTCATGCTACTCTATTCCCAGTTAACTCCAAAACAATGAACTATTTTACATGTTAGAAAAAGTTTAGTGCCAGCCTCCCTTGACTTAGGTGCTCCTCCTAAAGTTATCATCTTGTTCACAATTTTTTTTTCAAAACTGATGTTTGTACTCTTGGATAATGTTCCTGTAATATAAGATATACTCAGTGAAATGGCCCACCTATGAAAATCTCAAACATCATAATCAGAAAGTCAAAGAGAAGTGGAACCAAGGAGGGGAAAACTGAAGCCCTATTATGGGAGTAGAAGCTTCTGTCTCTGAATAAAGTCAGACTAACTCAGAAGTGTTGGAGCAGGTGCCTAGATAAAAATAGTCAATAAAAGTATATTGCATAAGCATGTTTTGAGAACAATTTAGGAAAAGGTTGCCATGGGAAACAGTTCTCTCCAGTACATGGCTATTTAAGGAAGTAAAGATTCTCTTGAAGTCAGATTGTAGATGCATCGTTATCTCAAGATGTCCCTTGATGGGTTGAGAATCACTGAAACATTGTAGGGTGTGATTAAGATGTATGAGCTTTCCAAGAAATGAAAATGGAAAATGTGCTCCCAGGAAGAGCAGAGGGGATGAGCTACCTATCTTCTAGAGAGCCCACTTGGCTCAGAGATATTTTTGCTCTTGAGATAACCAGCCCTTGTTCATTTGTGGGGCTGAGCCTACAGGTCAGAAAAAATGGAAATCTTGAGATTGGCCCAATCAAAGAAGAACATTATCAGTTTGAACATGAACCTGGAAAGGGATATGCAGAGAATAGATGAAGCCAACCAGGAGCTTCTTCTCAAAATACAAGAAAAAGAAAATGAAGTCCAGAGGTGAGTCTTAAGGTTCATGATGGCAGTTCTCAACCTGAAATATGTGGGGATGGAAGGAAAAAATAAAACCTCAACTCACCTCCTTGCTCTACCGAACTCTGCCACATGTAACAATAACTCGCCTTCACTCTGACATTTCTCTGTGGGAAGGAGACTCAAACAAGCAAGTTTGAAAATGTATTTCCTTTAAAAAACCAAGCAGAGCTTACCTTGAGTTGAATGCTGAATGGTTTGGCCTGGGAATAAAGCAGATCTTTCTTGATATACCTTGTAAATAATCTGATCCTATGGGTCTGGAAAAGAAGGGCTGCCAACTGGGGATGCACATGGAGTCAACAAAGTACTCTTACACAAAACACCTGAGTTTTATCACCTCTAAACATGTCCATCATGGGTCCTTATGAATTATACTTGCATCATCCAGGCTAGAACGTGAGATGACCCAGACTGGAGACCCTGCAGAAGACGAGGAGTGGGAAAAGGAAAACTACACAGTGATGGAAAGAGAACAAGCGCTGCAGGAGCTGGAGGAAGAAACAGCCAGACTGGTAAGCACACTAGCAGGGAAGCGACTCCATGGCCTTCATCCCAGCCTCCCCGTAGAGCACAACCCTTCAACTAAGCTAGTCTCTCTTTAATCTAAATCTGATAATATTGGCAATTTTATCATATTTAGACAAATGATGGCAATCCAGGTGGCAAAGGACTGTTGGCTGCCTCTCTCATTTGGAAGCTTCCATGATGCTTTCTGGTACCATGAAACCTAGTTCTTGGGGAGGAGACTTTTAAGCTGGTCTTTTTGCATAAAAAGACTATGACCATGCATGGGAGGGAATTGGGAAGAGCAGGGTTTCTTGGCAATATTTAGTACTGGAAACATACGTATCTATGTCTCTTAGATGCTGCTGATTAGTTCAGCTATGATTTGACTTCAAGATCAACTTACATTGTACAAATAAGTTCAAACTTCAGTATGAAAACACCTTTATGAAACAGGCATATCCACTGAATAAGAGCAAATGATGTTATTTTGATTCAAACTTACACTCTGGTCCTCTCTCTCTCTCCAGGAGAGGAAGAATGAGACTCTGGTCCATAGTATCTCAGAACTTCAGAGAAAGGTAGGACAAGGCTCTGTGTTCCTCAATGGCTCCACAGCATCTTCATTCCCAGAGGCAAGACAAGGAAAAGTGGACAAAGAGGCCTCAGTTTGGCATGGATCCTACTCTCTGACATGCTCCCCTGAGGCTAAGGCTTGTGTCAAAAAGCCATGACTATTCTCTGCAAATGTGGAGTGGAAGGAGCAGTGGATGGGTGTTAAATCATTTCACTAGTGTTCCATTCTATTACAAGAAAATTGATTCCAATAGACACTCTGTTGAAGTGCTTAGCCAAAACCTTTAATTGTAATTTAAGTACAATTTAAGTTAATTGTACCTTTATAGCACACTCACCACTACCCTTAATCTCCAAGGATTTCCTCACCCAGCCCATTCACATTGCAGAGAACTTAACACTGATACTCACTCTGACCCACCCTACAACCCTGAGTAGCCCATATTGAATTGGGGCTTGAAAGAAGTGCTTGCTTACCATGACTTGGTCACAAACACTAGTAAGAAGACACCAATAGAACACATAATTCCATAGGACACCAAGTATTTCCCGTCTCCCAAAGGCTATCTCCTTGAAGCTTTCATATAGCCATGACTCAACCTACACACACCAAAAGATACTTTTTCTCTCTGATACTGTTATTATTATTGTCATTATTATTTAACATCATTATCATTGTTTTATTTATGTTTGTATTTTAAGTGTATTTTTTATTTGAAACTGTAGCTTACAAGAAAATCACAAAAGGTAGTCAAGTGTGAACAAGGTGATCTGGAAACAAGCCCAGAAGAGTCCAAGGTAAGTGTTAAAGCAGTTGGGAGTGGGTTTGGATTGCATGGCCAGGAACAGCTGTCAAGCTGAACACAGCCATCAAGGGTAGCTGAACGTTCTTTAACCTCTGGCCTGCATGAGACTAGATATAGCCAGAGACACTGAGGTCTTCTCTCTCTCTCTCTCTCTCTCTCTCTCTCTCTCTCTCTCTCTCTCT